ACAGATCTTAAAAAACAATTTATATAATTTATGGCATGTGAATATAAATTTTTTTGTGTTAAAGATTGTTTGGAATGCGTGAGGGACTATAGGAATAAAATACTGACAAAACCCGGGGCGAGAGAAAATACACTGCAACAAAGGGGGAACCCACACATGCCGTTACAGTTTATAAAGTAAAGTATTTTAAATTATATTTTGATTAGTTTACTCCCCCTGTAAAAAAAGTTATTGCTCTCTTATGCCCCCACGTCATGTAACCGTCACTTCTACTTTTTATTTATTTTACCCTTGTAAGTTTTTTTTTTGACAAAATACAGATAATTTTTCTTATGTTAGGAACAATATCTTATTAAATTCAAAAATTTGGGAATTCAAATTTTTCCCGAAAAGTGTTTTCAAATGCAGTTAGTTTTTGGGTAATTTTTGTACAGTTGAAGGGTCAAATAAAATAAAATGCTAATAAACTTAAAACTAATTTATTGCAAAATAAATGTTTTTATGTCACTTACAAGTTGTGGGGGGTTTCATTAGGTTTTTAGCCCTAGGTCGAAAGATTTTGGGGTTTCAAAAAAACCCCGTACTAGTAAGTACACAAGGGTTATCTTTATGAGTAAGACAATGTGAAAATTTGATGCTGATTAAGTCCCCATTTTAGAAGAAAAATAATTCATAACAATTTTCAATAAATTGCTTTTATGCACGGTATTATTTTTGTTTGATCGTCATTAGCCCAAAGGTTCCTTACCCGCAATTAAATGTAGGAATTTTTTGCCACAGTTTGGTTTTTGACTGTCTTTGTTTTCCATTTTTGTAAACAAAGGAAATTGTGTCTAAAGTATTTTTGCGATTGGATTATCTGCATAATGTGTATAAAAACACCGGTGGATGATTAACCTTCAATTCTATGTTTAGAACAAATGTCTATACTAATATTAGGAAAACATTCAATATATCACTGGTGGAAACGATTTCTTTGACAAAAGGGTGGAATCTGATATTTTTCAACTAGTGCATCACTGAACTTCTTGTTATGGTGTGAATGTCAACATTTCTGCATATTCAAGTTCGATAACAACATTGCGGAGGTTTGGTGTTGCAGTTTAATTCTCAGACATAGGCCACGTTTTTATGACCAGAGATACAGGAATACAGTTTGTTTAGGCAGTAGCGGATTTTAGGTATAGCGGATAACATGCCAATTTTAAAAAGGAGCTTACAAATTTTCTCGAAGTACTTTATTGGAAAATTAAGGAATAAAAAAAACACCCAAACATCTTTAGAGATGGCGTTCATTTGAATTTGCTGGCATGAATTAAATATTACAAAATTCGTGGAGCGTATTGAAGCTATTGAAATCATAAATTCCGGATCGACTACATAATAAGTACATACCACAAGTGAAAGTAAATTTCCTGGTTCTCAAGTGTAAGAAGAAAATTATTTACCTTACATTTAGTCCCAAAAGTGAATCTTGGACTGATATGAATTGTGGTTTAATGTAATAGTTTATATATTTATCAAATTATTGTAAGGACTATGTTTGCACATTTACTTGAAAATTTGCTAGTGAAATATTTGGTTTTTATACAAAAATGTTCTGGCATCCATTATTGTTATTATACAATTTTATGAATTTAATAGTTAGGAGGTAATAATGACTTAATTTTAAGGTTTATTCGACTTTAGTGTAAAGTCCCCTAAGAATTAGCAGTTTGTTAAAGTCCTTAATTTGTAAGGAATACGTATTTTAGTTAAATGTGCCTTAGTTGTAAGGTAATTTTTAATGCTTATAAATATTATTTTAGTAAAATACTCCCTTAATTTTAAGGTGGTTTATTCCGACTTTAGTCGTAAAAGTCCCTAAGAAATTAGCAGTTTGTTAAAGTCCTTAAATTGTGAAAGGATACTTTAGTTAATGTGCCTTAGTTGTAAGGTAATTGGTTTAATGCTAAATATTATTTTAGTAAATCGCCTTAATTTTAAAGGGGTTTTATGACTTTAGTCGTAAAGTCCTAAGAATTAGAGTTTGTTAAAGTCCTTAATTGTAAGGAATACTTTAGTTAAATTGCCTTAGTTGTAAGGTAATTGTTTAATGACTAAATAGTATTTTAGTAAAATACCCCTTAATTTTTAAGTGTGGTTTTTCGACTTTAGTCTAAAGTCTCTAAGAATTAGCAGTTTGCTAAAGTTCCTTAATTGTAAGGAATACTTTAGTTAAATGTGCCTTAGTTGTAAAGGTAATTGTTTAATGCTAATATTTATTTTAGTAAAATCGCTTTAATTTTAAGGTATTTATTCGACTTTAGTCTTTAAAGTCCCTAAGAAACCGCCCCGTGGCCGAGGGGTTAAGAGTGATGACTTCTAATCCAGGTACCTGCTCTGGCGTGGTTCGATCCCCGGGAGATGCTTTGGTAGTTTAGCGCGGAGGAAGGTTGTCTATACTGGTGGTAAATCTCCAGGAAACGATGGTTAGGAAACTACCCGCCTAAGTCCCCCTATATGACTGAAATACTGTTGAAAAAAGGCGTAAAATGAAAACAAACAAACAAACAAAGTCCCTAAGAATTAGCAGTTTGCTAAAGTCCTTACATTGTACAAGGAATACTTTAGTTGAATGTGCCTTAGTTGTAAGGTAATTTTGTTTAATGTAAATATTATTTTAGTAAAAATACGCCTTAATTTTAAGGTGGTTTAATTGGGGACTTAGTCGTAAAGTCCTAAGAATTAGCAGTTTGCTAAAGTCCTTATTGTAAGGAATTTTTAGTTAAATGTGCCTTAATTGTAAAGGAAATTTTTACTGCTAAATATTATTTTTAGTAAATACGCCTTAATTTAAGGTGGTTTATTCGATTTAGTTGAAAGTCCCTAAGAATTTGCAGTTTGCTAAAGTCCTTCATTGTAAGGAATACTTTTAGTTAAATGTGCCTTAAATTGTAAAGGTAATTGTTTACTGCCTAAAATTAATTTAGTAAAATATACGCGCATTTAATTTTTAAGGTGGTTTATTCGACTTTAGTTCTTTAAAGTCCTAAAGAATTTAGCAGTTTGCTAAAGTCCTTAATTGTAAGGAAATACTTTAGTTAAATGTGGCCTTAATTGTAAGGTAATTGTTTACTGCTAAATATTTTTTAGTAAAATATGCCTTAATTTTAAGGTGGTTTATTGGACTTTAGTCATAAATCCCTAAGAATTAGAGTTTGCTAAAGTCCTAAATTGTAAGGAATACTTTAGTTAAATGTGCCTTAATTGTAAGGTAAATTTGTTTACTGCTAAATATTAATTTTAGAAATACGCCTAAATTTTAAGGAAGTTTATTGGACTTAGTCGTAAACTCCCTTAGAATTAGCAGTTTGCTAAAGTCCTTAATTGTAAGGAATACTTTAGTTAAATGTGCGTTAATTGAAGGTAATTGTTTACTGCTAAAATATTAATTTAGTAAAATACGCCTTAATTTTAAGGTGTTTATTCGACTTTAGTTGTAAAGTCCCTAAGAATTAGCATTTGCTAAAGTCCCTTAATTTAAGGAATACTTTAGTTAAATGTGCCTTAAATTGAAGGTAATGTTTACTGCTAAATTATTTTAGTAAATACGCCTTAATTTTTAAGGTGGTTTATTGGACTTTAGTCGTAAGTCCCTAAGAAATTAGCAGTTTGCTAAAGTCCTTAAAATTGTAAGGAATACTTTTAGTTAAATGTGCTTAATTGTAGGTAATTGTTAACTGCTAAAATATTATTTTAGTAAATACGCCTTAATTTAAGTGGTTTATTCGATTTAGTTGTAAAGTCCCTAAGAATTAGCAGTTTGTTAAAGCCTTAAATTGTAAAGGAATATTTTAGTTAAATGTGCCTTAGTTGTAAGGTAATTGTTTAAAGTAAAAATACGTTAATCTTTAAGGTGGTTTTTCACTTTAGTCGTAATAGTCCCTAAGAATTAGCAGTTTGTTAAAGTCCTTAATTGTAAGGAATACTTTAGTTAAATGTGCCTTAGTGGTAAGGTATAATTGTTAAAATGCTAAATATATTTTAGTAAAATACGCCTTAATTTTAATAAGGTTGTTTATTCGACTTTAGTCGTAAAGTCATTAAGAATTAGCAGTTTGTTAGAGTAATTAAATTTGTAAGGAAAACTTTAGTTAAATGAACCTTAGTTTAATGTAAGGTATTTTTTTAATGCTAAATAGTAATTTTTTAGTAAATACCCTTTAATTTTAAGGTGGTTTATTCGAATTTAGTCGTAAAGTCCTAATAATTTAACAGTTTTGTTAAAAGTCCTTAATTGTGAGGAATACTTTAGTTAAATGTCCCCTTAGTTTGTAAGGTAATTGTTTAATGCTAAATATTATTTTAGTAAAATAACCTTAAATTGTAAGGTGAAATTTTCAACGAGTTGAAATTCTTTTCCTTGATTTTAAGGAATTGAGTTCTTTCTAGTCATGTTCCTTAATTTTTTAAGGAATATGATGGATAAAGCTTAATTTTAAGGCCACCTTTCCATATAGACTGTTCTGTTTTGTTATTTTATAAAGTTGTGTATGAATTTCTTTTAGTTTTTAAATCATTTTTATTTGTTGGTACCTTCTATGCTTAAACATTTAGTATTTGGTTTGATCAGAATTGTAAATTCCTTTGCTGTATTGTTTCAATTTGTTTTGCATGTAACTTTATTGCATAGATTGTAATATTTTTTATGTTCAACCCACAGTCATATATTACTATTTTAAGCCAAGTTAACACAAAACATTAATTTTTAAATATAATGCTTAATGTGTATTTAATGATATAGTAATTATCACATAATAGTTTCTTATAAATTATATTAATGTCAATTTAATTTACGTCACTCAAGTCTGTTGTTTAAATCCAGATATTTATCATACCTTTAAAAGAAATTGACTCAATGATGGTATCCCCAGATAATTACTGTGTAGGGTTTTCCTATCCAAACATTGATAGCAGCTGTTTCATTTATTCAGAGCTTGTGGTCATATTTCGTACATGATGAAAAGTAAACATCAACAATGCTTATCGTATTGTTCTATACCCCAGATGATTTTGATCGTCTTGTTTCTTCAAATAAATGATAGATATTATTATTTTAACCTATGGGTCTGAGCTATTCTTGCGCATTGTTTGACAAGATCAAGTTCTGATATTCAGTGAATTGCAGAAAAGC